ATAGATAGATGATCAATGGAGAGAGAGAGAGAAAGCAAAAGAGAGAGGGGTCAGACTCACAGTGTCATGCCTTCTTAATTTTGCCTAAAAAGAAAAGTGAAAGGGTTAGTTTCTCAGTTGTGTTCAACTCTGCAACCCCATGAACTATAGCCCATTAGGCTCCTCTGTCCACGGAATTCTCCAGGCAAGAATACTGGAGTGGGTAGCCATTCCCTTCTCCAGGGGATCTTCCCAACCCAGGGATCAAACCCAGGTTTCCTGCATTGCAAGCAGATTCTTTACTGTCTGAGCCCCCAGCGAAGCCCCAGTTTTGTCTAGAGAATACACATGTATCTGAGGAGAAAGGCATATAGACTATGGTCTGCTGCTGCTGCTGCTAAGTCGCTTCAGCAGTGTCCGACTCTGTGCGACCCCATAGACGGCAGCCCACCAGGCTCCCCCGTCCCTGGGATTCTCCAGGCAAGAACACTGGAGTGGGTTGCCATTTTCTTCTCCAATGCATTGAAAGTGAAAAGTGAAAGTGAAGTCGCTCAGTCGTGTCCAACTCTTAGCGACCCCATGGACTGCAGCCTACCAGACTCCTCCGTCCATGGGATTTTCCAGGCAAGAGTAATGGATTGGGGTGCCACTGCCTTCTCCGGGCTATGGTCGGTATTGGGTAAAGGCCTAATTGCTGTAACAAAGAGATCCCTTCATAACGACATCAGGGATTTAGGGATGTAAGTTGATCCCCCTCTCCTAGAACAGTCTCAAAGCAGTCAGGGCAGGTTGGCAGGTGGCTCCACTCCACACAATCAGAAACCCTGGCTCTTTCCATCATCCTTCGCCAACAGCCTCTAAAAGCATGCATGCCATGGTAACAGCTGGGTGATAGGCACATTTAGGTCTCGGGTTATAGGAAGAGGAGGAGAGAACATGGAGGAGTGCCCACCTAACATTTTAAGGCCTAGACTTGGAACATACAACACATCACCTCCATTCCCAATCCAGACAGTCACGTGGTGGTTCAACTACCCACAAGGGAGCCTGGGAAATGTGCCCTCTGGCTGGGCAGCCATACAATTATCTTAGACAAATGGGAAATGAATCTTGGTGGAAAATTAGTAATGCCCACCACATACAACAGGCTCAGGAGTCCTTGATGAACTCAGGCTTGAGACAGTCAATACCTGTGTGTTTCCAGGAGCGCTCAGGCCCTCCTGGTACCAACCCACTGACCACCCCCCCCCCCATACCTGGGAGGTTAGTTCTGTTCATCCTTATTGGTAGGTATTGTCTCCTTCTGACATCATTAGTGGCTCCCAATCAGAGTTAAGAAAATAGGACCAACACACCCATAAATGGTCCCACTGCCACATTAATGACCTTTTGACCTGCCTCATACCAAGTTCACACCCTGGATAATTATTCTTGACAAAACCTAAAACTTGACCCTTTATAAATGGATTAAACAATTAACATACCTTAAAAACAACTCAAAAGCAGTGTGCAAAGTGCACAGCTCCTAAGGCCTTAGATCTCTAAGAAACATCCCCACTGGTCCTTTCCTTATGAAAAGCTAAAAGGATTGGGGTCTGTGAGACTTACGGTACTGGCCTATCACAACCTTAATCAAGGGAGTGCTGATAATGGTAGAATTTCAGATACAGCATATGGGGAAGGATTGGACACAGGGATACACCTTGGTCTCCTGGCCCCTGGAGAGCTTAGACTGTGCCCCAAACATCCAGTGTAGACTGTCCCTGGATCTCTCTTGGTGAAGTACATCAGGCCTATAAAGAGCATATACTTTTGCCTTAGGGGATCCAGGTGACGGCACATTCATCAGATAAATTAATTCCTGTTAACCTGCCATGTATGGATGTGAGTTGGACTATACAGAAAGCTGAGCGCCGAAGAATTGATGCTTTTGAACTGTGGTGTTGGAGAAGACTCTTGAGAGTCTGTTGGACTGCAAAGAGATCCAATCAGTCCATCCTAAAGGAAATCAGTCCTGAATATTCATTGGAAGCTGAAGCTGAAGCTCCAGTACTTTGGCCACCTGATGCGAAGAACTGACTCATTGGGAAAGACCCTGATGCTGGGAAAGATTGAAGGTGGGAGAAGCAGGGGATGACAGAGGTTGAGATGGTTGGATGGCATCACCGACTCAATGGACATGAGTTTGAGTAGGCTCCGGGAGTTGGTGATGGACAGGAAAGCCTGGCATGCTGCAGTCCATGGGGTTGCAAAGAGTCGGACACGACTGAGCAACTGAACTGAACCTGCCAAGCTGAAGGGCCCTTCCAGGAAACCACAACCTCTCAGAAACAAGCTTGCCCTGTTTGTCAGTAAAGTATTTGTCACAGTCAAAATATCAGGCCTAAGAGAGAAGAGCAGGTTTAAGGAATGCTTTTCACAAACTAAACCCCACACCCTTTAATGTTAGGCCCTGAAACGAGACTCTCCAAGTCAGAGGACCAGCTCAGTCCCTTTAAGCCTTTCCTTCCCCCAAAGGGTAATTTGATCCCCAAGGTGACAAAGTGATCAAACGGGTATCCTCCACCTAGAGACCGGCCCATAACTAGGAAGCAGGAAGTCCCATTTCAGGAGGAAGAGGACAGGCCAGGGGCAGAGCTCACCCTGGGAGGTCTGCACTGGCTGGGGCTATTGGTCCGTGTTTATTCCATTGCAACCTCTCCAGTTCCCATAGCCCACCACAGGCTGTTTGAAACCCTGGTGAGGGTTTATACAGTGAGCAAGTAAGACTCTAAATGCACTCCATAGGTTTTACCTTTTTATTACGGAAATTTCCAAATGTACATAGAAGTAAGGAGACTCTTGTACCCTCCATAGACCTAAGCCTAACTTCAACAACTGCCTATCTCCTTTTATCTATCAACCTTTGGGGTTTTCTTGCCGGGGAGCTGGATGGTCTTGAGAATACTAAGTATTTTCAAGTAGATCTCAGACTACTCATTCACAAATCAAAAAAGACTAACCAAATGGTGTTTGAAATACTACAAACAAATAGCAGTCCTTTCTTTCAACCATATCAGCTAGGAGGTTGAGACCCACTGGCAAAGTCCAGCCTCCTGGTTTTAAGGACGGTAACTCTGGAGAAGTGAGCTACCCAACGTTAGTGGCTAGAGCGGGAACCAGAAAAAAGTCCTCCCGGCTTCTGGAACCAGTCCTCCCGGCTGCCTGGTGAGTGATGGCCCACGCTGGCGACCATTTCCCAGGCCCCGTCCCTGGGAGGGGGAGGGGGACCCTCCACTAACCGCCGGACTGCCGGCGGGAAGAATCTCGGCTGTTCCCGCGAACACATTTCTGGAAGCACAGGCCGGGCGCCTGGCAGCGGGTCACGGATGCAGCGGGGTACTGGGACCTGCAAGCCGCGGTAACTGGAGTGGTGGGGGATCCCGGGCGGGATACCGGGGTCTGGGGTGGCCTTGAAAAGAGAAAGGGGCCTGCTCCCACGACCGGAGGGATAACTCGCAGCCAAGATTAGGCTGCGGCCTGGGCCGCCCTGCGGCCGACCCGGTTCCACGTGGGGAGTTGGCTGGCGAGGCTGGCGCGGCGCCCACACCCGGGGCTGGGAGCAGGAAGTAATCTCCCGCGGGCGAAGCCCTGGGCGCGGCGCGGCAGGTGCAGCGCCAGGCGGCGCGGGCTGGCGGCCAGTGCAGAGGAGGTGAGCGCCGGGGTCGCCTCGCGGCTAGGGACCGCCAGCCCCGGGGCGGGAGCTTGCAGCTGGGCCCGGTAGGGTGGGGAGGGTGGCTTTCTGGGAGGGGGAGTGGGGCGCTGCCTTGAGGGTCGGATCGGGCCACCCGGAGGGCCTCGAATATGGGGTAGGGGCGTTGCTGGGGGGGGGGGGACGGGGAGGGCTAGGTTTCAGGCTCGGGAGAGGGCTGGGGGCTTTGAAAGTAGGGAGAAGGAGGCCACTGAAACAAGGTTTCGGAAGTGTGAGCGTGGATAGGTGGAGGGATGCGGCGAGGCCACTGTTCTCTGGACCCCGGGGGACTCGGGGTGGTGCCAGGGCTCTGGGGACGCGGTCCTGCCGGGGGATGAGGGGCAAGATGGCCCTGCAGATGAGCGGAGTCGGAGGGAGCTAAGCCTCTCGAGGAGATGGAGCAGGGAGGGAGGGCTTGCTGGAAGGGGGCCGAGGCTCTAGCACCCACAGGACCCTTCCGTGGCTACCGAGATCCAACACCCAGCACCACCAGCTGCGGGCGCCAGGGGCCCGCCGCGAGCCAGACTCGGCAAGCCACTTCTCCGAGGATGTAGCTTTATGGGAGATGCCGGGCGCGCGGGCTCTTTAAGGAGGGTGTTGGGGGCGTGTCAGGAAATGAGTCCTGGGCCCGCCTTCCCCGGGGGAGGGGCCTCGGATGTCGGCAGGCTTCGGGGCCGAGTGGAAGGCTGGAGCCTGGGAAGACCGCGCGCCGTGGGCTTGTACCGACCCAATCCACTGCGGGTCCGGAGGACCCAGGCCCTGAGCGCCCCCTACCTCGCCTGCACCCTCTTTCCAAACCCCCCCCCGCACACCCTCCTTTCAGCTCCTTGCATGCCCCGCCCTTCTCGCCCTGCAAACCTTTTCTTTCCCATAGCAGCCCGCGCCTGTTTCTGCACCTCTTCCTCACGCCGTCCCCCGCCCTTTTGAAGCCCCTTCGCCCAGCGTTTCTCCTGCTCCCCCTTCCCCTTCCATACCTCCCCTCCCTCACTTCCCGCTGGTTTCCTCCCTACTCAGTTCCAGCCCCTTCTTCCCTAACTTGTCATCTCTGTCCAACCTTAGCCCATCAGGCACCTTTCCCCTGCCTTGTCTCATGAGCCCCCTGAGGGTGGGAGCAGGTGGTGGAGCTCATCCCAAAGCAGAACCTCTCAATCCGAGAGAAAAGTGGGAGGCCTCCAGGCCACCCGCCATGTGACAGTTGAGGACTTCAGTTTGCAGAAAGCAGATGTGAGCTCGCTGCCCTGTACTCCAGGAAATCAGTCTGGCTGTAAGCTGACCCAACTCCTCTGCTACCATGAACAGGGCCTCTCTGAAGCGGTCAAAAATCCTGCATATGGCACTGATGGGGACTTCCGACCCCACCGGAGAGGCAGAGACCAGCCAGGAGAAGCCCTTTGTGCTGCGGGCACTGCAGATCGCCCTGGTCGTCTCTCTCTACTGGATCACGTCCATCTCCATGGTGTTCCTTAACAAGTACCTGCTGGATAGCCCCTCCCTGCGGCTGGACACCCCCATCTTTGTCACCTTCTACCAGTGCCTGGTGACCGTGCTGCTGTGCAAAGGCCTCAGCTCGCTGGCCACCTGCTGCCCTGGTACCGTGGACTTCCCTGCCCTGCACCTGGACCTCAAGGTGGCCCGCAGCGTCCTGCCCCTGTCGGCGGTCTTCATTGGCATGATCACCTTCAATAACCTTTGCCTCAAGTATGTGGGTGTGGCCTTCTACAACGTGGGTCGTTCACTCACCACCGTCTTCAACGTGCTGCTCTCCTACCTGCTGCTCAAGCAAACCACCTCCTTCTATGCCTTGCTCACCTGCAGCGTCATCATCGGTGAGTGGCCAGCCAGGGACACAGGGAGTGGGCGTGGGGGGTTGAGGGGGGAAGGATTGGGGGAGGATGGGAGCTGAAACCCTAAAGAACAACCCTGTCAAACGTCTTTGGGCTTTATCTGCCCCGGCTCCCTTGTTTTGACAGTCATATGAGGAAGAGTCTGGGGTCCAGAGAGGGCAAGTAACTTTCTGGAGGTCACCCAGCAAGCTAGGGGCCCAATCAGGGCCCTTCAAACAAGATGGGATTATAGTCTATACTTCACACAGAGAAAACCAAGGCACAGAGAGGTTGAGTGATTTGTCAAAGATCACACAGCTAGTAAGTGGTAGAGGTGGGATCTGATCTCAAGCAATCTGGCTCCTGACACTTGACCACTGTACTCTATTGCTTCTCAAGAGTTCAAGTGTCCTGACTTCTCATCCAGTGCTCTTTCTAGAGGACATTGCATCTCTTAATAAATATGTGTATACCATCATCCTCTGACCTTGCAGGCTTACAATAATGCCTGAGACAGTGGCAAGAGAGATGCTTTGAGATAACTTAGCTGTCTTCCCAGACTTGACCCTCAGAAAATAAAAATTACTAATGGGGACATTGTGTTAATTATTTGCATACAACATCTCCTATGTTCCCCAGAGATTCCCTGAATGGTATTATCACCACCATGACCGACTACATACACACAAGGAAACTGACACCAGAGAGGTTAAGTCACTTACAGGGCCCCACAGCTAAGAAGTATCCAGCCTGGGTTGGACACTCAAACTGGCTGGCCCCCCAGGCCTGTATTTCTAATCACTCTGCTCTGTTCTTGTCCCCTAGAATAGCGGCCCCAAGCCTTTTCGGTGCCAGGGACCAGTTTCATAGAAGACAGTTTTTCCACAGACTTGGGGGTGGGGGTATGGTTTCAGGATAATTCATGCCCATTACATTTATTGCACATTTTATTTCTAATCTAATGCTACCGTTGATCTGACAGGACGTACTCGTCCATGGCCTGGAGGCTGGGGACCCTGCCCTAGAGGTTAGAACAGTGCCATCTAGTTCAGTAGCCACTGACCACATGTGTCTATTTCCATTCAAATTCAATGAAATTTTTAAAATTCAGTTACTCAGTCATGACCTGATTCTGTAGCCACATTTCAAGTGTTCAGTCACCACGTGTGGCCAGTGGCTGTTGTACTGGACAACACAGATGGTAGATCATTTCCATCATCACAAAGTGTTTTATTGCAGCCTGTTAGGTAGGAGCACCCCCAGCTTCCCACCCCCTCACAGTCCTCCTGGGGCTCAGTCTTCCAGGAATGGAATCTTTCTTTCTTTGAACCTCTTCAGGTTCTTCCTGGTTCAGCAGACTTCATCTTGGTTGACCTACATCATCTTGGTTAGTATCTGAGTCCCCAGGCTGAGTTGCAGCAGTTGTGGGGAGGGGCCCATCCCATGCCACCTGTCCTAGAAAATGTTTTCCTCGTTGAGCCACTGGGGGACCTAGGCCTGCCCAGTCTAGGTTCAAGGTGGGAGAGAAAAGAAGGGCAGAGGTTGGAGTGAGGGCAGCTGCCAAGACCCCTGGCAGATCCGTCTCAGCAGCTCCCATTTCCTCCCCCAGGGAGCTGGTATGGACTCCCAGGCCACACTTAGACAAATGCCCCAGGGATCTCCACTTCAGCCCCACTGACTTTATGGAGTCGGGGGTGAGGGGGGAGAGGGAGGGACTTCCTGACTGGCGAATTTGCATGCAGGCTGGTGAGGTCATTAGGGAAACTAGGCCCAAGTCTGAAAAGTAATCAAAGCAGCGGATGGTGAGACAGCTTCTGGGAGAGTGCATTCACTGCTTGGCTGTTGGGACAGGCGCCCAGGAGATAGTGCTGTCTGCTGGCCCGGCGCCTGGGTCTCCTCTCCGCCGTGTTGCCCCATCCCCCCACCCCACCCCTGTCCCTCCTTATGGGGGAACGTGGATCTCAGGTGACTCTCCAGGCCCCCTCCTCCTCCCTTCCTCAGATAGTATCATTCTGTGCTCCCTCTTGGCTGAGATTCCCTCTGGGGTCTGGAATCTTAAAAGGGGCCGTCTCTCTTCTGGACTCAAAAGGTAACCAGCAGGAGGGCTGGGGGCCCTCTGGCTGTGCCCCCAGAACCAGGCTGTGGGTACCCATTTGCAAAGGTTCTGCCGAGAACAGAACACTGCCAGCAAGTGCTTACGGCCCAGTCTTGTCTCCTCTGATCCTCACGCCCACCTCCAGAGCAACCTACGTGCATTCACTCAGCAGATGCTACTCACTGGCCAAGCATGTGCCAAGAGCTCTGGGGATGCAAATTCTGAAAAGGTAGATGCAGCTCCCACACTCCTGGAGGGCATGTGGTTGATGCCTAGCAGTCAGGGAGTTATGCCGTGACTCAAACATAAAAGGTGCTGCGGAAACCCTGGCAGGGGTGGAGAGGGGGAGAGAGAAGAGTGGGGAGGGAGGGTTCTAAGCTGGCATTCCAGAGGAAGTACTAGATGGATGTAAGGAAGAGGTGAGGAGAGAACGTTCTAGGCAGAAGAAAAAACCCGCATATCTGCGTGGCTGGGCCAGAGCAGGTTGTGCCTGTGAGGCTGCCCAAGTTAAGTGAGCCTGGACTGTCTCCTGAGGGCTGTGGAGATGCCCAGAGGGGCTTTAAACCAGGACTGGACCTGAGCAGATCTGTCCTGCAGGGAGATCATGCTGGCTGCAGGGTGGAGAGTGGATTGACTGGAGTTGGGGGGTGGGGGTGCGTCAAGAACATGAACCCAGATGTCCACAGCGGAAGGACAGGGGAGCTCAGAGAATTTAAGTAGACTTTCCGTGGGCCACCCAGCCTTTAAATGACAGAGCCCGATCGGAGTCCAAACCTCTCTGACACCAAAACCATGTGGCCGGCTGCTGTGGTGGGAGATACAATACATGTAAGATTTTGGCCCCTGCCTTCTGGGAAAGTGGGGTCTAAGCTAGAGAGACTGTACTGTCCCCATGGGCAGGTGCCTAGCAGCCCAGGGCAGGCAAGTGTCTTGAAGGAAAGCACAGGCAAGAGGGAGCCAGGAAGAGGTCTGGGTGATGGGGGTACCAGGAGAGACTTCAGCCCTGAAGAGGCTGGCTTTGACCTCGAAGAATGCGTGGAATCTCCCAAGAAGGAGGAGAGTGTTTCTGGTTCAGAAGATGATCAAGGGTGCTGAACCCTGGTGTGAGAAGCAGGGAGATGAGAGTGGCGACTCGGGGTGATCGTGGCACAGAGGTGGGGTTCAAGCGTCTGGGGAGCCCAGCATGCCAAGCTGAGGGTGGGCAGTGGGGCACCAAGGAGGCTCCATGGGTAGGAGGTGTCACAAAATGAGTCTCGGAAAGAGTAAGCAGCTCCAAAGACCTCGGGCCATAAGTGCTTCTCACCACAGTAGACTCCCATGTCACAGACCGGGAGGCTGAGTGAGGCTCCAAGACCTCAAGTCACTCACCCAGGGTCACCTCCATCACTAAGTGCTGTAGCCACGCTCAACCTTCGGAACCCATTTCACACGTTGCTTTTGAGGAGTCGTCCAGTTACAGGGCTCTCACGTCACCCTGTCCTGTCTTATGGAACTCATTACAATTGTAATTAAAGAAGTAATTGGGAAAGGAATCATTTTAATGGCTCTCTCCTTTGCCGGAACGCAAGCCCCGTGAGGAAGGGTTCCTATCCTGGATTAACTCCCCCATCCCTTGTGCGATGCTCTGCACATAGTGGAGACTTTGCATACCCTTCTTGCAGGAAGGGCCGGGAGGATGGAATGGTGAGATCAGCGTGACACAGTCTATGAACTTGGGTGGCAAAAATTCTCTGTCCTTCCTCCTCCCCATGCTGTTCCCCTCTGCCCACTGCAGGTGGCTTCTGGCTCGGAGTGGACCAGGAGGGCGCGGAGGGCACCCTGTCTTGGACGGGGACCCTCTTCGGCGTGCTCGCCAGCCTCTGCGTCTCGCTCAACGCCATCTACACCAAGAAGGTGCTCCCGGCGGTAGACGGCAGCATCTGGCGCTTGACCTTCTACAACAACGTCAACGCCTGCGTCCTCTTCCTGCCCCTGCTCCTGGTGCTGGGGGAGCTCCAGGCCCTCTTCAGTTTCCCCCAGCTGGGCAGCGCCCACTTCTGGGGTATGATGACGCTGGGCGGCCTGTTTGGCTTCGCCATCGGCTATGTGACGGGACTACAGATCAAGTTCACCAGTCCCCTGACCCACAACGTGTCTGGCACAGCCAAAGCTTGTGCCCAGACGGTGCTGGCCGTCCTGTACTATGAGGAGGCCAAGAGCTTTCTCTGGTGGACGAGCAACATGATGGTGCTGGGGGGCTCCTCTGCTTACACCTGGGTCAGGGGCCGGGAGATGAAGAAGATGCAGGAGGAGCCCCACCCCAGGGAGACTGAGAAGAGCAACATGGAGGTGTGAGCTTCTCCAGACCCAGGCACGGCCCAGCCCCTGGGGAGCACGCCCCTCAATGCAGTGACAGTGTCTCTCCGGACCCGGAGACTGTGGCCTTACAGACGTGATGGGAATCTGGTGGTTGACATGGAGCCAGTGTTTCCCAGTGACGTCAGAAACTTGCCAAACCCGTCTCAGCCCCTTTTCCTAGTTCCAGGGTTTTGTCCTCTCATAGGGAGGAGGGACGTCCCCGTGAGAAGAGCCAGTTAAGTTCTCTGGAGGAGTACCGGCTTGCAGGGAGTAGGGCAGGGGCACGTGCCAGAGACTGTGCCCCCTTCCAGGGCCTTCTACCTCCACACGACCTTTGAGGTTGGGAACAGGCCACAACCTTGAAGGGACAGCATTGGCAAAGCCAGCCAGTCTTCACTTACACTCAGGGGAGATGGGGCTGTGACCCCACTAGAGGTTTAGGGTTTGAGAAACCTCACCTCTCTGTGTCCCGGGAAAGTAGCATAGCTTTGACCCACCCCACCCCCAACCCCAGACCAGCCTTCTTTTGGAGGAGAGCATGGGCTGGGCTGTGGGAGGAAATGGACAAACGTTCCCTCTTCTCTGCGATGAGACCATCAGGTCCCATGAAAGGGGGTGAAAGGTTGGTGGTACCCAAGTCTGGTCCTGGCACCCGCAAGGGCTGCTGGGAAATGGCCTGGGGATGGATGGCATCATGGGAGAACTCCCTTTCCTGTCCCTGCCATCTGCACCCCACGTTTCTGCTGTTTGAACGTGATACGTCCTTCACAGGCTCGGCAGGGTCAGTGACCCTCTCCCCCAATCCCCAACACCAATTTTCCCTGCTCACTCCCCTGCCCCTAAGAGGCAGCTGCCACGTGGCACAACTGCCTGGCTCGGGTAACAGCCTCCCCGAAGTGGAGCCAGCGGGCCACTTTGGCTTCTGCGAGCTGTGCCTCCCCAGGAGGTGCTGAGGGAGCAAGGGTCAGCTCAGAGCTTCTACCTCAGCTGTGCCAGGCCCCCTCAAGATACAGTTCCCGCAGGGCTGGGGTGGTCGCCTGATCTAGATGAAGGCGTTCTGCTAACAGTTGCGGACATCCCTGAGTTTAAGGCTGAAAGAATCTTCCCTTCTGCTCACCCCCACCTTCCAGGCCTCAGGGTGGCTTTCATGACTCCGTCCCTTCTGTCGGGTGTTTCCTTCCACCCAACTTTTGGGGGGTAACTCCTGGTGTTTTCAGTCCCTGGAGCGAAAGGCTGGGGAGAGTGGGCCTTCTCACCGCCCCTCTCTTCCAGCCCCTCCACCCTCCCAGGTGATTTGTGATGAAGTTGGTGGGACTTGATGCCCTGAATTGTGTGCGATTTAATTAAAAATTGGACTAAAACATCTTGTGTGTGTGTGGAGTGAGAAGGGACAGGCAGGGTCTGGATGGGACCTGTGAACAAAGGCTCAAGCCTGCCATCAGCAAGCCGGGGTTCTAGCACAACAGCCCTTCTCAGAACCTGTTCTCCCTCCAGGCAAGGGGTTGATCCAAAAACCAAAGCTGCTTCCAGACGTCAAGTTTCCTGTTGGTAATTGTTGCCACTTTCTGGGTACTTGCCAGAGACAAGACACTGCTGAGTGCTCTGTTCCCTCATTCATTTCCACACCCCTCTGCAACACGCCTTGAGGTGGGCGCCATCACCATTCCCCCATTTTACAGATGAGGACACTGAGGTTCGGAAAGCAGCATAGGAAGGAAGAGGCAGCAGTAGGAGTCAGACGGAAGTCTCTGCTTTCAGAGCACAGTTACTTCACCACAGTTGCCTTAAGTATCCCCAGCATTTTTTGAGCATCTACTGCTTGCCAGGCAGTGGTGGAAGGACGTACCAGTATGAGGACCCAAATCTGCTTCAAGGGACAAGAATGTAAACACACATCAAGGCTCCCATAACAGATGCAGTATTGCCCTGAGGTCTCAGAAGATGGAGATACCACGTCTTTACAAGGGCCAGGGTGTTTGAATATTACTGGGCAAGCAGGGGCTCCAGGAGCAAGGGTACACTGACCCAGGAAACAAGATTAAACTGAGAAAAGAGTACACGGGGAGTGATGAGAGGTTTTCTTTGGCGAGGGGGGTAGTGTATAGAAAAGGAGAGTGGACCATGGTGTGAACAGCCTTGAATGCAGTGGTCCATCTGGTCTTGATTCTAATCAATTTTAAAGCCATCGCCAGGTCCCTTAAACAGAGAAGGGACATAATCGTTTCTGCACCCTCTGTATAGTCAGCAGATTGAGACAACATTCTTCATGTTATTAGCACTTTCTTGAACAAGATTCAAGAGAAATCTAAATAGTTTGAAAAATATTCAGGCAGTCTCAATTCACAGGACAGAACTGAACAGCCTACTGTCCAAGACCTCCACACAGAAGAGCACAAAGATGTATGGTGTCTGAGGATGGATTCGCATCCACATGCAGCAGAACACCCAGTTCTGAGGCACATGAAGCCCAGAGAACAACCAGAGCCAGCCTTCCAGCATCCCAGGTTCCCACAGTCAGCACCACCGCCCCCAGCTCATCTCTATGGTGTTTAAAGGAGCCAGAGCCGCCCCCAGGAATGTTTCGCCTGCAAGAAGCAAAGAATTGTGCCTTCCCTGGCAAGTCCACAGTTCCCCTTCTCTTTGGTTCCCCCCCCCTTTTTTTTTAACAAAGTGTCTTGGTTTTTTTTTTTCCCAAAGTGTCTTGTTTGTAACATAAAAATAAGATCACTTTTCCCCTTTGATTCCAGTGGTAACAGGTTGCTAAGGGAAAAATGTACATATCAAGGAGTTTATCTCCAAAATGTCCTCTAAGAAAAGGCCAGGAAGGCTTAAAGAGAACCATATACATGTCATATACACATCTGACATCAACAAAGACACCCTGAAATAGTGGGAATACAACTTGGAAAAAAAAACCCTCAAAAAATATTTTAATATGCCCCAAAAAAACAAGCATAAAATAGTCTAGTACAAAAAGGCAGATAGGTGGAAGTCAAGCTGCCCAGAAAAAAAAAAAAAGAAAAATTGTGGATGAAATGGAAAATTTAGGAACAGGGAGCTGATTTAGCACTGACACACACTTTTCCAGAATGCATCACTCTTTACTTCTGTTTTTGCAGAGCACTTGATCAGAAGTCTGGAGACCTAGGTTCCACTTCTTAGAAGCTAGGGGGCCTCGGACAAGTCTCCTAACCTTTTCCAGGCCTCATTTTTCTTGAGATATGGGAGTAATCCTTGTCCCTCCTGCCACATGAAATGGTTGTGAATTGATGCTCAGCATCGTTCTGAAAATACGGTGAGTTGTTCTTATCCGGAGAAGGCAATGGCACCCCACTCCAGTACTCATGCCTGGAAAATCCCACGGATGGAGGAGCCTGGTAGGCTGCAGTCCATGGGGTTGCTAGGAGTCGGACACAACTGAGCGACTTCACTTTCACTTTTCACTTTCATGCATTGAGAAGTGTTAGGTAGTTAGAATAGGGAAAAGGAGTCCAGAATGGCAGTGGCTAAAAGATCTGGAAGGGAAAAGCCCTCGAAAATAGAACAAAGGAAGGTCCGAGGACCGGAGTGAGAACCTCAGGTAAAACAAACAACACTCCTGGCTGGCCCAATTTACATAAGACAGGCCCAGGGACAGAGAAACATATAAAAAGAGGAGCCAAAGTCCTCTTCTCTCTCTCTCCCGCTCAATGGGGCGCTCTTCTCTTTGCGTCTTTGGGTCGACGTGCCCTCACGCCTCGAAGATGGATTTTCCTGCTATTATCTAAATAAAATAGAGCTGTAACACTGATTTCTTTAAGAGCTATAATGGTCCATTCAAGACCTGAGAGCTATAACACGGTTTGTCCAAGATGTAACACGCCGAGGGGGCTTTAATGTCCGTCACTCCAAATTTTTGTTGTGACGAGACAAAGAACCGAGGAGCATACACTCTCCTGACAGAAGGAAATGGCAACCCTCTCCAGTATTCTTGCCTGGAGAATCCCAGGGATAGCGGAGCCTGGTGGGCTGCCGTCTATGGGGTTGCACAGAGTCGGACACGACTGATGTGACTTAGCAGCAGCAGCAGCATTGTTCTTATCAACATCAACAAACAGCAACCGCTTTGAGTGATAACTATGCACCAGGTGCCAGGGAGACAAATAGTGGACAAAACCCTAGAAACAAGTAAACAAGTAAGGACTTCCTGGTGGTCCAGTGGTAAGAATCTGCCTTTCAATGCAGGGGATGTGGGTTCGATCCCTGGTCAAGGAACTAAGATTCTCACATGCTGCAGAGCCCAGGTGACATCTAAAGAGTCCGTGCACCACAACAAAAGATCCCTCACGATGCAACTGAGATCTTGAGTGCTGCAAGTAAGACCCGATGCAGCCAGGTAAATGAGTAAGTATTTTTAAAGAAACAGATAAATACAGCTTGTTTAGGAAAATGAAGAAAACAAAAAAGCCAAAATGGAGAATATTAGAGGGGAAACTTCTCTAGATAAAAAAGTCAGAGAAGGCCTCTCTCTGATTGCATTTAACCTCACCCAAATGATGGGAAGCAGCAGCTGTAGGGAGAGCTAGAGAAAAAGGTGGACCAGGCAGAGGTCACAGCTCAGGCGAAAGCCCGTAGGAGGGAAGAGCTGAGTGTGGTCCAGAGCCAGAGAGAAGTAAGCTGGGGAGGGGGCAGTGGGGGGCGGGGAGTGAAGGAGCAGAGTTGAAGAACCAGTTATTCCCAGGGAACAAAAATCCCCAGAAACAGGAAAGGCAGAAGAGACAGATTCGGCAACTTTCTGACATTACTGGAGACACTGGCTCCTTTTGGTCCCACTCACCGTGGGGTGGAAAGAGAGGAGGTCAGAGGCCAAGTTCCAGCCAGGGAGCACCTACTGACCACAGCAAGGAGGTCAGATTTGTTCTCAGTTCCCTGGGGAAGCCGCCGGGAGCGCCATGACTGGTTCATGTCTTAAGAAGATTCTCCCTAGCTGTTTACATCTTTAAAAGAGCTCCTCTAGTGAGAAGAAAGACTTAGATAAATCACTTACCCTCTCAGATCCTTTTCCCAAATGAAAGAAAAGAAAGTTGTTCTAATGAAGAGATTGGAAAAGACCCTGATGCTGGGAAAGATTGAAGGCGGGAGGAGAAGGGGATGACAGAGGATGAGATGGTCGGATGGCACTACCGACATGATGAACATGAGTTTGAGCAAGCTCCAGGAGTTGGTGATGGACAGGGAAGCCTGGCGTGCTGCAGTCCATGGGGTCGCAAAGAGTCAGACAGAACTGAGTGACTGAAAGGAGATAACATGACGATTTAAGGAGTTATGAAGTACATGAAAGGAGCTATGATGTACATGAAATCTGGTTACTAGATGAGAAAACCGCGCACCATAAGGTCACATGATAAGTCTGAGACACCAAGGACAAACTAGAGTGTGGTACTCCGCCCTCCTGTCCCCTCCTCTGATGATCCCATAGCTGCCTCACTGGACGCAGGCCCTGCCCGCACCGAGAAACTCGGCTCCTGTGAGAGGGCTAAATTTAGGACCTGGAACCGGCTAAAACGGGGACACGGGAGTCTGCTGCACTGAAGCAGCTGGCCCAGGTGTGCTGGGAGCTTAGCTGAAGGAAGGCTGGGGGAGGGGAGGGGGGGAGGGGCTGGCGACTAGTGTGAGGGTGACTGCAGGGTATTGCTGAGCCCTGGTGGGGAATGTATAGCCGTAGAGCTGGGAGTGAGTTTGAATCAGCCCCAGATCTCACAGACAAGCCTGAGGCTCAGAATGTGTGACTGACTTGCCCAAAGCTGCAGTGCGATGGGGCAGGACCCAGACCCCTTCCCTCAGGCCAGTGCCCTTTCTGCTAAGCATCATCAATCACTATTTTTTAAAAATAATGATAATCACTGTGACTATTATTATCGCTAGTATTTGTTAGACACTCACCACATGCCAGGTGCTATTCTAAGCATATTAC